GGTTATGACTCCGCCACATTTTGTTTCTGCCTGGAATGGGAGTATAACTCAGCTACTCAGCCGTTCACAGCGTGCAAAGTTTGTATACGATGTGGGGAATTTATCAAAGAATTCTATAGATAAGAATGTGTATCGCAACTTATTCCCATTTGACTGCTTTAAATTATGGCTAGTTTGAATCGTACTTCTCCTCCCCCATTTGGAAATCCATAAATAATAAGTGTTGCAATTGAGGAAAAAGGAAGCTGGAGTTTATTTTTAAATATGGCTAGTAATTGTATGTGCATTAATTTCTTTTGGAAAGTTAGAACGTAAAACTATATTTTTGCTCAAAGTAAAAGTATTATTTGTAAACAAATTTTACTGTTGTTGGCAGTTAGATTGCGGCTTAACCAACAGCAGCAAATGAAAACCACACAAAAGTTTACGGTGTTGTCAAGAATGTGTATTTCTGTGAATTTTTTTAATTAAATTTCTCTTGTGTGTCTAAACGGCGTGGTTTTGTCGGTGCTGATGAGTGGTAGATGTCGACAAATCCTCCATTTTATTTAAGGCTATTAATCTACAAATCATTTTAAGGTGGGAATTGCATAGAAAATTTGTTTTTGCCATAGCCGGTTGAGGTATTCGTAAAAGAAACAAGAAGAAAATCAATAAGTTCGGCCGAACCGAACTTTCAAAAACCCTCCACCATTTGAAACTAATTTGAAAATTTTCAAAAAAAAATAAAATCCGTTAAAATTCTGTTAAAATTTTAAAAACAAATTTGAAAATTTAAAAAAAAATCCGTTAAAATTCTGTTAAAATTTAAAACCAGTAAAGAAAGTCTTAAAGTCGGGCGGGGCCGACTTTATGATACCCTACACCACTTTGCTAATTAAGTACAGCTCCACATAACAATTAAAAGTTTTTATGGGAGAATTCAATCATACACGCTATGATTATAATTATAATTTAAAGTTCAAAGGACTAAATATGCCGAAGCATTTGTATCTTTTAAATTCGAACTTGTATTGCCCATTTGGTGCACAATTAATTTGAAATCGGATAAAAATATATATGGGAGCTATATCCAAATCTGAACCGATCTCCATAAAATTTGGCAAAGATATTTCTGAGCTGTATTTGATATATTTCCCTGAATATCGTTGTTACGGAGTGCATATTACGGCTGTGGGTAACAAATACAATAAATCGGATGAACAATATATATGGGAGCTATAACTATATCTGAACCGATCTTCACCAAATTTGGCATACTACCTTCTAGACTAAATTCAGTCGTAAGTGCCAAATCCCATCCCATTTGGACAAATATTAGGCGTTTGGTGCACAATAAATGGTAAATCGGGCGAAGTTATATATGGGAGCTATATCCAAATCTGAACCGATCTCGATAAAATTTAGCAAATGTATTTCTGAGCTGTATTTGATATATTTCCCCAAATATTGTTGTTACAGAGTGCATATTACGGCTGCGGAGAACAAAAATAACAAATCGGATGAACAATATATATGGGAGCTATAGCTATATCTGAACCGATTTCGATAAAATTTGGCATACTTATTTTCAGGCCTAATTTGGTTGTATGTGCAAAATTCCATACTATTCGGGCTGATATTACACGTTTGGTGCACAATAAAAGACAAATCGGACGAAGATATATATGGGAGCTATATCGATACCGATTATCTCCAATTTCAATAGGGTTCGTCCTTGGGCCAAACAAATGTTGTTTGCAAAATTTTATCTCAATCGGATAATAAATGCGACCTGCATTTTGTTCACAAGAATACATGGACAGACGGACTGACATGCATAAATCGACTCAGAATGTGATTCTATGCAGATCATCAAAAGAAACTATGGGTCTATCTCATTTCCTTTTGCCTGTTACAAACAAATGCACAAAGACATAATACCCTGACCACCTTGTGGTGTAGGGTATAAAAATACCGAATATTGCCATCATATTGGAGTCGATATGAACAAATGGACTAGTGTAGGCAACTTTTGTCATAGCCCATTGCTATAATCAAATACGAAGCTTGAAAAAATTCCTCTGAATAATGTAGCTAAAATCATCAAAATACCGAATATAGGGGGGGTACCGTTATATCAGGGCTATAGGAAGATCTGGACCTGCATAGACAATTTTATGTCACATGCTGCAGTTCCCATTACGAATTTCAAATATGAAATGTCAAACAATTTCGGGGAATATTGTATTTAAAATCGTCAAAATGCCAAATATAGTGATGTACAGATATATAGGGCCTATACGAAGACCTGGACCTGCATAGACAATTTTCTGTCATAGACTGTGATTCCCATTACGAACTCTAAATACGAAAGTTGAAACAACTTCGGTGAATAATATCGCTAAAATCATCAAAATACCGAATATTAGGAGGTACCGTGATATGGAGACTATAAGAAGACGTGAACCTGCATACGCAATTTGTTGTCCTAAGCTGTAGTACCCATTACGAATTCTAAATATAACATTTGAAACAACTTTGGTGAATAATGTCCCTAAAATCGTCAAAATATCAAATATCGGGTAGTAGCGTTTAATGTGGACCATACGATATCGTGGATATATATAGACATTTCTCTCCCAGGGTGTAATGTGCTTAGAACTAACTTCTAGTACGAAAAAATTCTGAAAATATTTATAATTATATATAATTATGATATGGTAGACCAATATAGACAATGCACTTCCAGGGTGTAAAGTACTCAGAAGGAACTCCTTTTGTGGATTTCAAGACAATTTAATCGAAAAAATTTGGCTACAATCATCAAAATACCAAATATCGCGGGGTAACGTTATATGGGGGTTACACGATATCGTGGAACGATATAGCCCATCTTCGAGCTAGACCTGCCTGCAGACAAAAGACTGATCCTTGCAAAATGTTAGCTTCCAATCTTTATTCGACCGGACGGAATCGGTCTAAAATTATTATTTCGATGAGTTACAAATGGAATGACGAACTTAATATTCCCCCCCCCCCATACTATGTATGAAATTGAAATAATTCAACCACTCGTCCGACAGCTGTTAAAATTATTCCAGTGACATCTCATTATATTTTTCACAAGCGTACAAAAGCATTTTTGTGAGAATTTTCCAGAAAAAAAGTTATTCGCGATGGAATTCAAGCGTAATAGTGTGATTTCTTTATATTTGGCTGGAAAACCACAAGTGGCTATCGTTAGAGCACTCCAGCATTTAAATGTGAATACATCTTTTGTGTCTCGCAACATCGCTCGTTGCCATGATACTGGGAGCGTAGCCCGACGTCAAGGAAGTGGACGGAAGAAAACAGCAACATCAGCAGAAATGGTTCGAAAAATAAAGAAGCGACTTGATCGAAACCTGCGTCGCAGTGGCCGAAAAATGCCTCGTGATCTGAACATATCGCAATATTCCATTCGGCAAATATTGAAAAGTGGGCTCGGGGTAAGGCCATTGAAATTCCAAAAAGTGCAGTGCGTAACAGAAAGAAAATAGACTCAAAAAAGATGCTTCGCTTGGTCGAAAGTGGTGAACTGCCGAATTTGGTTTCCTCCAATGAGAAAACATTTGTTGTCCAGTAGTGTTTACTTGCCAAAGAGATCAGCTGAAAATGTGCACCTTCGGTTGGCCACCAGAACTTAAGCGCCGGCCATGGTGATGGTGTGGGCCGCCATAACAGCCGATGGTGGCTTTCCGTTCGTATTAATCGACCGTAGCATTAGAATAAATGCCGAATATTGTCGCGAAAATATTCTGGAGGGTGTATAAAAGCCTTGGACACACAAACATTTTGGCCGCAGGCCTTGAACATTCCAACAGGACTCAGCACGCTCCACACCAAGAATTGTTATAAAATAAGATTCCTCGCTTCATTTCCAGCGCACAATGGCCACCAAAATCTCCGGATACCAATCCGTTGGACTATTGTGTCTGGAGTATTTTGGTTGGCACTAAAAAATGACAAAGTGTCGGTCGCATCAAGCAAGCGCTTCACCGGAATTGGTCCAAAATACCACAGAGCACCATTCGGGTAGCATGGGACGGTTTCGCTGTGTGAAGGCCGTTTGAAGGCCATAATTCGTGCCAAAGGTGACCAATTCGAACAAATCTAAACTTATTCTAAAATTTGATGCTATTTCCGACATTTTTTGCTTTCATTCAATAAAATTAAAGAATAAATGTAAAAATTATGTCGTTTGCATACACTGGCATTGACTTCGTTAGGTCTAAAACTATTATTTCGATGAGTTAAAAACAGAATGACGAACTTAATATACACTCCGTTCTATGTATGTTGGAGGGTATAAAAAGTCAATATAGGTTCCTGATTTTGCTAAAATTAATGTCTTCTTTGAGTGCTTGAAAACCATTTCCAATGACAATCGTTGTAGAAATAACAAAAACGTATTTTCCATGGATTTCTTTACGTTTTCTAACCCCCCTCAATCATTAATTTATAACCCATTATTTTCTTAACATTCTCAAACTGACCTATTTATCATTTTCTCTCATTTTTTGCCAACTAATAATTAACATCCTACTACCCCCATCGTATGGTTGACTCTCCCCCCCGCATATTTGAAATAAAATATCAAACTAAGGAAATCATTGTTTCACTATGTCAAAATATGGTAAGAAAAAAAATCGGAATTTCATGTTCACCTCTTTCATAGTAGCCGAACTAGCGGACATAGTTTCAGAACACGGTAGAAATGTTTGTATGCCTATTGTTATCTTAAATAATATACTTAAAAACTGCATTGTAGTTAGATACACAATTTTGAGACACTGTAAAATCTAGAAAATGAAAAAGAAAAGTAGTTTGAATATTTCTCTAGCAGTTATAATTAAAGATCGGTTTCACAATCTCCATTGTGGAGCAGATCTTTAGTTTCTGTAGTTTTTTTTTTCGGAAAAAAAATATATTTCAAAATTTTCTAAATTTTTTTTCTTTACTTCTCTGCTTTATTTTAGTGCCCCCAAAAACTTCAAACCCTGGCTTAGCACTGGAAAGTTAAGCTGCCGAGGCAGCATGTCGCCGGGACCTCTAGAAGCGGTGTTCTTTGGCCCCCAACCTGTGAGTACAACAAAATGTAGTGGCGGTCCGGCGGGAAGACTGCTACAGTCACGTCAACTGCATCAAGAAATATGCAGTCTACTTCTAGGCGCTATTGAACAACTGAAAATAGCCCTAAATGAATTTAGCACCGTACTCCCACCGAATATCAACACACAAATCGGCTCACCACCATTTCGAGAAAACGATACCAACGATCGATTGCATAAGCTATTGGAACAAGCTAAGGTATGTGTGAGACAGGGATGGGAAAAAAAAAACAAATGTGTCATAGATGACTAAGGATTTTTTTCTATGGGAAAAAAATGCCTCAGAAAGTCGGCCCTTTTCTATAGAAAGAAATCGGTACTCCGTGAATGGGAAATTATTTCTGTAGAAAAAATCGATACTTAATAAAAGAGAGGCCTCTGAAAAAATCGGCCTCAGAGACAGAGACCTTTTTTCTGTAAAAAAAAATCGGTCCTCAATGGCTAAGGTTATTTTTTTCTACAGAAAAAATCGGTCCTCGGTGCCTGAGGCTATTATTTTCTAAATCGGAATAAAAATCGGTCCTCAGTGCCTAAGGCTATTTTTTCCTAATGTAAAAAAAATCATCAGCGGCTATAAAAAAGGGTCCCCAGTGGCTGAGGCTATTTTTTATTTTCTATAAAAAACGATCCCCAGTGGCTGAGGATTATTTTTTCTATAGGAAAAAATCGGTCCTCAATGACAAAGAAATGTTTATCTATAGAAAAAAATCGGTCCTCAGTGATGAGGATTTTTTTTCCATACAAAAAAATCGGTCCTCAGTGACTAAGGATTTTTTTCTATAGAAAAAAATCGGTCCTCAGCGACTGAGGATTTTTTTCTATAGAAAAAAAATGGCCCTACGTGACTGAGGATTTTTTTCTATAGAAAAAAAATGGCCCTACGTGACTGAGGTACCGTGAAAAAAAAAATCGGTCCTCAGTGGCTGAGGATTTTTTCTATACAAAAAAATCGGCCCTCAGTGACTGAGATTTTTTTCTATACAAAAAATCTGCCCTCAGTGACTAAGGATTTTTTTTCTATACAAAAAATCGGTCCTCAGTGACTGAGGATTTTTTTTTCTATAGAAAAAAATCCGTCCTCAGTGACTGAGGATTTTTTTTTCTATAGAAAAAATCGGTCCTCAGTGACTGAGGATTTTTTTTCTATAGAAAAAAAATCGGTCCTCAGTGACTGAGGATTTTTTTTCTATAGAAAAAAAATCGGTCCTCAGTGACTGAGGATTTTTTTTCTATAGAAAAAAATCGGTCCTCAGCGATCGAGGATTTTTTTCTATAGAAAAAAAAATCGGTCCTCAGCGATCGAGGATTTTTTTCTATAGAAAAAAAAAATCGGTCCTCAGTGACTAAGGATTTTTTTCTATAGAAAAAAATCGGTCCTGAGTGACTAAGGATTTTTTCTATAGAAAAAAATCGGTCATCAGTGACTAAGGATTTTTTCTATAGAAAAAAATCGGTCCTCAGTGACTAAGGATTTTTTCTATAGAAAGAATTGACCCTCAGTGAATGAAGTTATTTTTCTATAGAAAAAATTGACCCTCAGCGACTGAGGATTTTTTTCTATAGGAAAAATTGAACCTCAGTGAATGAGGTTTTTTTATAGAGAAATTTGGCCTCAATGACTGAAGATTTTTTCTATAGGAAAAAATTGACCGTCCTCTCCAGAAAATTCTTTTCAAATTTCAATATTTTTTTTAATTTTTCTCTCTCTCCCTCTAATGTTTTGCCTTTTGTTTCAGACCCACGATTCCGAAGAGGACTTTACGATACGAGCAAATTCGGACATAGCCCAACTATGCGCAGAATGTATTATGTTCTGGCGCCGGGTACTTATAGCCTCCACCCAACCTTCGGTACACACACTGTTGGCCAAGAAGCATCACATTTTGCGGGTACGACGTTTCTCCGAAGGTTTCTTTGTAATGGAAAATCCTCGCCACACAGCGGCCGGCTGCTACGACAGTAACTATCAAAATTATGTGGCCATATCCGAGATGGCGCGCAGAAGCCGCTACATGCAGTCACTACCCCCACTGCCGGTCCATTGTACACCCATTGATGGCGACACAAATTCAATGCCTTTAATTTTCGAAGATCGTTATGTGGAGCCGAATAAATTTACACGAAAAAGAACAGGTTCCGAGCCACATTTGAATCGTGTGGATATGTCGGTGGTCAATGGGAAGAGTAAGGGCTCGGGGGATAAGACCGTTGCAACACCCAATGGACGGGCAGCCTCAGCTTCAAGTGGTAAGGAGTGTTCTTGTGGTGCGGGTGGCTTTGATTATTCTGCCACAAAGTCCAATGGGGTGGTTGGGGTTTTGACGCCCCGCTTTGCCTTAGGCGGAGAAATTCTACAAGCCAGCTTGACCATAGCACCCTCAGCTGCCTCCAAGGGACCCGGTTCAAATAACACCACCTTGAATCACCGTTACATGTCCAGACATTCTGTGAATGGTCTGCTCGACGAAATCGACAGCGGTCTGGATCCATCCTTGCAGGAATTTTGTGATGTGGGCAGTGCTGGGACTTTGCCGGCCAGACACAGCAAGTCCTTGGATCAATTGGATGGCACGGTCCATAGTACTCCCTCCTTGAGAACCTATCACCACAGTACCATGACAGGTTATTCTGCCAAGTTATCAGAAAGTGAAATAAATCATCTCGCCAGCTATGGAGGAGCTGGAGGGGTAGGAGAGTCCCAGGAGAAAACATTTAAGGGCTTTGGTTTGAATGGCAGCCGCACTAAACCCAAGGTCCAAGCCGAGGATTTGATGCGCAACATCAATGAGTTCCGTTTGAAATATAAAAATTTCGAAGATCCCTGTGTTCCGCCGCCACCACCACCGGCCACCGCCAATGGCCAAATGCATTACAAAATCTATGGGGCCAATACCTTGGGTAGACCGCCCAATCTGGATATCCAGGCGGCCAGCAAATACGACTACCTGCATGAAATTAAAATGCTGAATCCACCCAAAAAAGTGGCGACCGAGCCGAAGCAAAATTCCTACTACAATTCCCTGCCCAAGACCATTGCAAATGGTGAGATTGTGCCCCGTAACTCATACCCACCCATAAAGACCGTCCCCCAGACAAATGGGGATACCCCTAATGCTAATACCCAAAGCTCCATAGTTTGGCCACAACAAATTGCTATACCCCGCAGTAGTTCTTCCCAAGCGTTAAGACAAAACAATGTTGGTCCCCATCCAGAACTGGAGCCAAATGGTACCATACCCCGGTCCGTGGAAATTGCCCGTGTAAGGGTCTCGGACCTTAAAGAGATGCTGAAAAATGGCACACTGCGCAAAGAGTCCAGCAGCTCAGAAAGTGATATACCCTCCAAGGTGAAGAAGGCCAAGGCAGAACAGAAAATGTTGTCCTCCACCAGTGTGCCCTTTAAGCTGGATACAACCTCCGCCCAGGACCAGGAGCAAACCACCAGTGGTTTCAGTGAATCTCTGCCCAATTTGGTGCCGCCTCCGCAATTTACCACCGAGGCAGTGATAAGTGATTCCACCTCCTCGCTGAGTGAAGAAAGTGGTTGGGTATCCAGTCGCCGCAGCTCCATTGTGCCCTCCTCACCGGAAACCATACTCAAGCAACAGCAAACCAAGGAAAGAAATGAACTGGAAACCCGGCTCAATGGAGAACAATTACGCCTGAAGTTGCAAAAACTTTTGGAGCAGCAAAACAAAAATAAAAAACTCAAAGAATCGCGAGGACAACTAAAGGCGCCCAGCGCTCTCATTCCAGAGGGTTCGCTAAACAAAAAGGTGTCCTCTGTAACGGTTAAAATTAAACCCGAACGTCTGCGTTCGGAATTGCGTCGAAATCTGCGTAACATACCCTACAATGAATCTACCGAAGTGGAGGACTCGGACTTTTCGCTCATGCAAAGCCAGAGACGGGAACGTTATAGGAAGACAGAGAAATCCAAATCCGATTTTGATTTGACCAGCATTAAGGAGACCAATGGTACAACGGTGGCTCTTACAAATGTGCGGGTGCCACCGCCACAGCAATTTCAGGATGATCTTCTGCCGCCCGATGAGTTTCGTGATCCACCGCTTAGCAACAACAACAGCAACAAGGACAAATCAAACAAGAAACACGAACTTAACACGTCCAGGGCCAAGGATATGCTTCCTCCAGCTAAACCACAAAATGTTCCACCAAATTATGTAACCATGACGCCGGCCCATAAATCTGATACCTATCAAAGCCTCACCCAGCACTCATCTCCCTCATCACTGATACTACCGCCAGCTCCACCACCTCCTCTCAAGGAAATTCCCCAACATGCCATGAACCTGAGGCAACCCATTGTGGCAATAGATAATCCCGTCTATCACATCTACGAGTCCATGAAACCCATAACCCCCGCCAATATTTTTGGCAATAAACCGGTTGTACGATCGCACAGTATTGTTGAAATGAAACGGCCCAAAGATTTTGGACAGCTCAGCAACACCACCAACACCATTAAAAGTTCCCAGCTGAACAACAACAAATCCAATCGTTCCACACCCTCCAATAACTCCTCCACCAAACTTTCCCTGAACATCACTGCCCCACATGCCCAAGGTCCTCATCCTGCTCATCCTCCCCAGCCTCTAGAAAATGGCAACGAAGACGAAAACAAAGAAAACTCAAATTCTTCTTCATCAGCCGCAGCAACACAGCATCAACAACATTGTAACAGCAACAGCAACAACACCTCTTCCACGACGGTTGTCCGTTCGTCCAGCACCAAGTCGAACAAACATCACAAGAACAGCCAACACCATAACGCCAACAGCACCAAGGGCCACCAGGAGGCCAACAACATATCTTTAATGGAATTTGAAAAATATCGCGAAGAATTTCGCAAACAATTGAAATACAACGGCAGCATTTATTCAGACTTCAACAAACTCTCCTCGGAGTTGCCTTATTTTTATATCAGCGATGAATATCGTGCCTTCTCACCGAACGGCATGCATTTAATTATTTGTGTTCATGGCTTGGATGGCAATTCGGCCGATTTGCGTTTGGTGCGCACCTATTTGGAATTGGGACTGCCCGGTGCGAATTTGGAGTTTCTAATGTCCGAACGCAATCAGGGTGATACATTTTCCGATTTCGACACCATGACTGATAGGTAGGGGAGTTGTTTTTTTTTTATACATTATATATAACATTCTAAATTTTGTGTGTGTGTGTGTTTCCCGCCAGACTTGTTGCTGAAATTTTATATCATATCGAAACCTGTGGACTCAATCCGACACGCATTTCTTTCGTCGCTCATTCATTGGGAACAATTATTGTACGCAGCGCCTTGGCGAGACCACAAATGCGTTCATTATTGCCACGATTGCATACGTTTTTATCATTGTCGGGACCCCATTTGGGTACATTGTATAATACCAGTGGATTAGTTAATATGGGTGAGTAATGGAGAAAATATAAAACAAGTAAAAAAGTATCGGTCGGTTTTGCCGACAGATGTATACCCTCAGCCCTCTTCACCCTCTATGGAGTGGGTTTTTGAAAAAATGGGTCAATATTGTTCATTACGTATCGGACCTAAATAAATATGATATAAATATTATTATAGCAGATGGATAAATCAATTGTAAAGAATCGCTGAGTTGTTTCGCAATTTAGGACAGATAAAAATATTGAAAATTGTGTCCCTTTGTGGGTGAGGTACCAGCAGGTGTTCGCAAATATATAGCATCTTCACAACAGATCTGGTGTTAGCAATAATGCTTGTATGTGTGAAATTTGAAGAGAGTTGGATCCTTATTTCGCTTTCTTTGAGCGTTATGTTTTTCAAAATTAGATTATTGCTTCCCTTTCTGTGCAGAAAATATATATTTTTAAAATTTCGACCATTTGTGGGGGAGGTACCAGAAGAAGTGGACCGATATACTCCATCTTTACACCAGACCTTGGGCTAATGAAATGATTGGGATGAGTGAAATTTGAAGACAATCGGACTCTTACATCACATTTTATGAGAGTTGTAATTATTCAAAAATTTGACCATTTGTTACGGAGGTACTTGAAGGAGTGAACCAATGTTGTCCATTTTTGAACCAGAATTTAGCACTGATGCAAATATTACGACTTGCAAAGTTGGAGCAAAATCGGAACATCGTTTCTCTTTCTGGCAAAAAATATGTATTTTTTTTTTTTGAAATTTTCGACCATTTGTGGGGGAGGTACCAGAAGGAGTGGACGGATATATTCCATCTTAACACCAGAGCTTGGGTTAATATAAATATTGGGATATCCGACATTTGAAGACAATCGGAGAGTTGTTACTTTTCCAAATGTTGACCATTTGTGGGGGAGGTACTTGAAGGAGTGAACCGATTTCATCCATTTTTACACCTAACGTAGAACTGATGCAAATATTAGGATTTGCAAAGTTGGAGCAAAATCGGATTATCCTTTCTCTTTCTGTGCAAAAAATATATTTTTTGCAAATTTCGGTTTTTTGTGGGGGAGGTTGCAGAAGGAGTGGACCGATATTACCCATCTCCGAACTCGATCTAAGTTTGACAAAGATATTACGATGTAGCAAGTTTGGACCAAATCGGATACTCCCTTTGAGAGTTATCGTGCGCACCAGCCAGACAGACGGACGGACGGACGGACATCGCTAGATCGACTCCAAATGTTCTGAAACGGATTTGGTCCAAAGAGACCTAGGGTCTAAAACCGTTATTTCGACTAGGCACGTTTTGACCGTATCAAATGATATATACCCTCTGTAGCCATATGACTGAGGGTATAAAAATAATTCTTTATTAGTGCGGTTCGGCAAACTGGACTGACTGCGTCCAAAGCGAATTGAATGACCGTTGATTCCGGGTTCCCTTTGTAATTATTAGATATGCTAAAGACAGGCTTAGAGTAAGCATCAAATTGTTTAAAATTCGAAGATCATACGATGACAGAATTCTAGCTCCTGAAGCCAAATGTTTCCTTCGGAGCTCTCTCTCCCCGATGTACTTTAGAAATTGTTAGATCGAATTGGTTACCTTCTAAGAAGTTGAGCGAATTTCTCATTATTAAAGGTCACATCGGCTGGCTTTTTCGCAAAAAAACTATGGAGTTTAAATTGACTTAATATAGAATAGGATATCCGAATTTCCTTTATTTGTTTAGAAAGAAGCCGGCAGGTTACTTATGGAAGAAAAAAATTCTATATAACCTTAAGTCATCGATCCAGTTGAATACTATTACGTTTTAGATGGTGCTCTATAAGTTCCACAGTTATCGATCGTCAAAATTCTCCTTTCCCACATCCTAATCCTCTTCATTTGGATAGGTAATAATCTCTAGTTGCAATTTAAAAGCCGACAAAATTTCTTGCATCAGGAAAATTTTTTGGTAAGCGTAATTTGTCTTATTAAGATTCAGCAGTCAAATTTGGGCTAGTCCAAAGTTCGTACAAAAAGGTATTTCTTATGAGACAGAAAGAGAAATACAATTAGTTTCATTTGATATTACGCTTTATTGTTGAATGAACTTATACTGTACTGATTCTGTGGTAAGTACAACTTATCCTACCCGTCTTCGGTCCGGAATTGCCAAATGGTTCTTCGACTCGACACCTGGATAAGTACTCGAGACAGAATTTATACCTAAGGAATCGGGATTGTGTAGTTAAGTATACCGGATGGTTAATGCCAGAGACCTTGATAAGTACTCAAGCAGGACCTATGAGGGAGTGCCAGATTACGTCTATAGGAATACAGTAAGCTACGGTATATTCAAAGCTAAGGTTGCAAGAAACCTTAATAAGTACTCAAGCAGAATACAAGAATAGTCCAGGATACAGTTGCGAGAGATCTTACTAAGTGCATAAACACACTACGAAGATATTCAAGGCTACGGTTGCAAGAAACCTTAATCAATACTCAAACTACAAGGATATTCAAAACTACGGTTGCATAAGACCTTAAAAAGTACTCAAACAGACTACATGGATATTTAAAGTTATCGTTGCAAGGAACCTTATAAAGTAACCAAGGATATGGTTGCAAAAGACCTTAATAAGTACTCAAACAGACTACAGTATTTTTTGCTTACCTGCACAATCAAAAATTGCACGACATCTTGTGCGGCAATGTCCAAAATGCAGGTAGCTTAATTGCATTTATCTGCACAATGAAGCAGGTATCTTTAATTTTACTTACGTGCACAAAATGTGCAGGTATCTTTAATTTTCTATTCGTGCACAACAAAGCAGCAATCTTTATTTTACTTACGTACGTGTAATAGCCAGCCAAAATCAATGGGGAATCTTTTAAGGTTTATAATACATTGAAACTAATTTCAAGAAAACACCACTTTATTCAACAACAACAACAAAGTAAATTTTCTCATGAATTGTCTAGGCAAGCAATGCTCACCATTAGCGTCATCGAAACTTCAAACAAAAGAGTGTTCTCTTTTAGCTCATCAAAAGTAGTTAAGCAATGGATAGACAAACTCAGAGAGACAAATTCACAACATATGTATTTGAGCATCAGTGGTGTTTTATCCAACATAACCATCTTTTAGTGTGGGAGAGGAAGCGAGAATATGTTTTTAATGCAAGTTATGTATTTTTAAATAAAACACTTTAACATATTTATTATTATTAAAATTCAATTTATTCTTTTCCGTAAATGACTTTACAATTTGAATGTCAACTTAAGACTGACTTATAAAAACAAAATATTTAAAGAACATAAAGCTAAGAATAGGAAAGTACAAAATGTGAAAATAACAGTTCATTAAATATTTTAATGTAATAACAAAAAGATGAGTGTGAGGGAGAAATTAAATGGGAGAGCGTTTAATTCAAAAAAGAGAGAGAGGAGAGAGAGAAGCAATAATTTTGATTTATTAAAACTGTGTGTAATGATAATTCTATCATTACTTCTCCCCCGTTAAATTAGAACAACATTTTTTAGGAATTTAATTAACAAATAAGATTATGAATTAAAAAAAACGTATATATTACTTATAATAATAATACTTATCAAATACTACTTAAAATATATTTTATACATATTTATTAGTGTCTACTACTCCAAATATTTGGCTTCCCGTTTGATATTATTTTCATGTATATTTTTAAATTGCTAAATCTGAATTTCGGTTCTTGTTTGTGCCTAACCGATTTGTAATTTTTTATAAATCCTACATCTCTGTTTTCGGAATATATTTCCCTATTAACATTCTTTTTTTTCAATATTGTGTTTCTTATTTTGAAAAATTCTCTTGTAAATATCCTCTTTATTGCAATTTCCAAACTCAACTACAAAGGGCTTCTCTTTAGTGACAGAATGAAAACTGTTATTATAGTATTCTATCGCTTTACTCATTTTATCTTTTATACCTAATGATTTATTTTCTAAATATAAAACTCTTATTTTCTCACTTAAGGTATTATGGAGCCTTTCTATATCGGAATTTCCCGTATGAGTGTTTGACTTAACTAAGTGTAATTCTATGCCTTCATCTTTAAAATATTCTTTAATATTTATGCTTTTAAATTCGTTATCAGTTATTATCTTTTTAATATAACCCTTTTGTGACTTATATAGTCTAATTTTTTCAAGTATTGTTTGATTAGTCCTATCTTCTAAGAAAAATGCAGTGGCAAATTTTGAAAATCGATCGATAAATGTAAGAAAATTTGATTTAGAATTAGTATATACATCCATATGTATAATTTGTCCGATATCAGTAGGTGTCTCCGTTAGTTTAAATTTCTGTTTAATAGGTTTGCGGTCAAATTTTGATTTATTGCAAGTATCACAATTATTAATGTATTTCTGTATCAAAATTTTTAAATTAGGAAAATATATTTTTCTTTTAAGGCCCTCATAATTCTCCAAAATGCCAGTATGTCCGGTTTCGTTTTTGTGATAATGGTTTATTTGTTCGTAAGTTTCTTCTTCTGAATTCATATCTTTTGCAAAATATGAGCATCTGACGAATCTAATGGAGTTATTTCCTTCAAATAATTCTTTCAATTTTTCCTGAAGAGTATTATATTTGTGATCGTTCACCTCGCTATATATTCCTATTTTCCCTTTATCTATATTATCGTTTAAAATTTGTTTAAGGTTATTGTCTAAGTCGTGAGTAGATATATAAATTCGTTTATTTCCGTGTTTTTGTTCAAAGTTTTTGTCTTTTTGTCTGTCAAAATAATTTGATTTTTGAATCTATTTACGACCGTATCTAGTATTACTATGTAATCTTTTTCACCTTCTTGTTGCGAATGAACAGTATCCAAATCAGAATCATTATTGTTATATAATGAGCTGCTGGTATCGTCAATATGGTTTATTTCCCCTGTTTCATAATTTATTCTGCTTAAAAAATCGGCAACATTGTTATCTTTGCCCTTTACATAATTAACATCAATATTGAA